TGTAGCAGGATATAACTAGATTGTAAACTTTGGCAGGACTCAACTTCTGAATGCTTCTTGAAACTCTGACAATATTTTTGTAAAACTGATTCTGGAACTGGAATAAATAAGAGATTTTTCTATAGTCTCTCTCCTGCTAATTAGATGAAACAGTAAGTTTTATATTTGTCCAGAAAGAGGTCTGAACAAACAAGAAATTGAGATTGGAGGAGCCAAACAAGGATAAATAATGAGCCAGTTTCTCAAACTGGTATTGACATACCAAGAGTTTGGAAGAAGTATGCTTGTGAGCTTCCTTTATTATTATAACCTCTTGAACAGAATAATCCAAATAGCTATAAATGCTTTCCAATAGAGAAGTTTACGACCTACTTTCTGACTGAAACAGTATCACAGTGTGTGGAAAGAACTTAAGTGAAGATGCTGGTGGCAGTGCTTCTAGCACATCGGTGTAGAAACTCGATGTATTGCCTTTTGCAAAACTTGTTAGTTGAAGTCAGCTGGAGTGAATTTGAAATATTGTTTGGTTTTAAAAAAAATTCTTTTTGTGTGGTTTGTTTTTGTTTGGTTTTGTTTTTTTGTGTTGGGTTTTSATTTTTTTGGGTTTTTTGGTGTTCGTTTTGCAGAGATGTAGATAGCTAAAGGCCTGAGTTGGCATGCAGAATTTTCATAGGATGTCTGAATTTTTTAACAGAGCACTGTTTGAAAAAATTATCATTCTAGGATTATCTCAACAAGAATTTGGCAATTATAGGATGTCTTTCTCGATTCTGTGTTGGGAGCAGTGAAGGCGGAAGAAAAAGGTGCATTTAGTCTGTTCACAATTGTACATCTGTTCTGGCCTCTCTAATTTTTATTAGGCATCTCTCCATTCCTATGAAGAGCAGGGCAAGGACATGGTGGGAATGTGCTCAGAGGAGCTTGGACCAGAAAACATTGAACTTGGGATTTGCGCATCCATTTCCCTTCAGCTGGAGGGATGCAGTCTTGCAGGGGGCATCAGGACAGGTTTCAATCAGCTGCTCTGGTGAGAGGCTGGCAGACGCTGCCTCTGTGCTGGGGGGAAGCAATGCAGAYCAGTAAAGCAGATCAGCTATTACAACTTGGGGGTTTGGTTTGTTTCCTTTTCTTGTTTTTCCTGTGACTCACTGATGTAACAGAAAGCGAGGGAGCTGTGCTAATCTCCATCAGCTGCAGCTGTGGCCAATACCAACCGTCCCTTTCTTCTGCTTTTCCAAGGAGCTTGGGAGTGATCTTGAAAGCACAGATCATTCATGTCAAGAAGAGTTTCTGAATRCTGTTGAAATACATTAAGTAATCCTTGGTTAGCATGGAAAGAGCTATAGTTAAAATTCTTCCAGTGTTTCAATTATAATTCCTTTATTGTTTCAGTTGCTTATAACTTCCTGAAGTGCTCATGTCTCAAGCTGAAATTTTCCAGACTTGATCTTGGCCTGACAGTGACCTTTCTTCTCTTTTCTTCTTTGTTTCTCTTTTCTCTGTGGTATTAAATTAATATGACTTGGGTATTTCATTTATAATGAGAAGAAAGTAGCAGCAAAATACATTTTAGCTATTACATTAAAACTCTGAGACTGAATAGCTCAAGCTGTGCAACTGTCAAAAAAAAAAAGGTGAAAATCATCAAAAGTACTTCTTGAATCTTACCAGAATCTGTGAGAGGGAGTAGTCAGGGAGATACCGACTTTAGGTCTTGAACTTTCTCGCACAAACATTATACTCCTTTATAATTATAACAGTGTTGTTTTGCCTGATCAGTGCTCAACTGAATGAAAATGTAGTCCTTGGTGAAAGAGCAGWTCTGTTTTTCACTGTTTGCCATGACCGTGGCGAGACAGGGCTTTGGAAATTTGGGAAAGTGCTGTGCAGCAGGAGCCCTCTGGGGCATTCCTCATGTCCCACAGTTCAGGTTGAAAATGGTGAAGTTTCCAGAAAGTCTTCTCCCCMAAAAAATTGTTTAACACCAATTTGAAAAATAATTTTTAATCAGCTCTACTCAAGCTGTTGACTGTAGTAGTTTAAATCAGAACACAAATTGCTTAGGGGATGGAACTTAAACCTGGATGGAAATGGTGGAAATAAATTGTCAAGTGCTTTCYTTTAAATTAATGCTGATATCATATCTATTTATTAACATACGTAAAGGCTGCTGGTGACGGTGGTGATGTTGCTAAACAGCAAATTATGGGGTTTGACTTCTTCACTCATAATTTGTGTTTCAAGAACAAAAAAGTCATGTGCTTGCCTCTTGGCTTGGACACAGGCTTGCATTGCTTTAAAGACTGTGGGTTTTGCCAAGGACAGTCATTGTGAGTATGTCCAAAAAGAAATATATATATTTATTTATAATATACTTATATAAGAAACTTTTAATTTTTGGAATTTTCTTCTTGTGGTCTCTTCTGTTCCTGGGGAAATATCACTTCATGTACATTCATGAATCATCTCTGATTCTATTGCTAAATGGTTGGGTATTCCCAGGGATGCAGGCAAATGCCTCACTCTAAGAGCTGCAGGGCAGCAGCAGAGATAGGGCAAGAACTGAATTGCCAGGGGACCTGACAGAGATTCCCTGTGCTCTCCTGCCCTCTAACTTAAATTTTAAGTGAATTCCCTAACTCTTAACCTCCGGTGTGATATCACAACTGTCTGATCTTGTAGAGGACTGTGGAAACTTCGTTCATTGCTCGTCATAAACTCACACTGATCACCTGCAAGGCTGTCCCTTGCAGGAGCTTGGGAGTGCTGTTCAGGCACTGCTTCAGCAGAGCTAGGTAAAAGTAAAATGTAAAGCTGCTAGGTTAGGTGCCCATGGCATAAGCCCAACTTTTCATGTTGCAGAGAATACTTACTTCTTGTTGGAGAGCAATACTATATGTACTTTTTTTTTTTTTAAGCTATAGGATTTGAGGTTTAGTCAATAGGTACAAAAGTTCTATTACAACAACTTTGACCTCTAAAAATTAATYAAAATGTATCTTCTCCACCATTATGTGAAACAACTGTCTTGAAGTTACATTGATCTGTCATAAAAASAAGAGTCTAATACCAGAACTTTAAAGAAAACTGCTCTGTGTCTCTAGTTTATGTCTTCAGGACAGGAGGAATGCTACCAGATTTTGGTTCAACCTTTGGTTCTTCCAATGATGATCTTGTCAAGTTATTTTTCTAATCTGTCCCTGAGTGTGTCACACACTTCACAACTGTGTAAAGGACATCTGTCTGAAAAATCTGAAGGCTTTTTTTCCCAGGGAAAACCTTGTATTCTGTACCTTCCAGGCCTCCTGACATGTGGCAAATTATTAAAGTGAAATTGCTTGGGAGAGGCACAGTAGTAAATTTCTGATTCAGCAGTTATACAGCCTTGTCCTTAAAGCTGGCTTTGATGGTCCTAATGAGGAAGGACGATGCATGCTTTGGTAGGGGCAGCAGGCAGTGAGAACCACTGCAGATGTTGTGAGTATATGACAGTCAATGTGCAAGAAGCTTTAGCTGAAATGAAGTAATAAAAATTCCTTGAAAATGACAAATTTCTGTTTTTGTGGTGATGATTTCCTTGTTATTTCAGTCTCATTAAAGCCATTAATTTAGGTTTGCTCTCTTCTGTGTTGTCTTTGGTTTTATACCTTCAGTTACATTCTTAAATGATAAATTTTAGAACAATAAGCATATATTTCTACCACAGATATTAAAATGAAARCTCAGTTATTGGCAAATACAAAAATCTGTTGTTTTTACATTTTTTGCCCGTTTTTGTCTAAACACTGCACWTGGACGGACGTGTTCTTCCAAGTGTATAGCTAGGTGTTGGTTCTTTAGTCAGCTGGGGGATATTTAGAATGGATTTCTGATAGTAGCATGGAACTAATTTTATCATGTTGACTTTCTGTTCAGTGGTTTCTGTATTGGCTTTTCCCTTCTAATCTACATTTTAATTATAGGTATAAGTATTCAGCCAGTCAGAATGGGCTCTGGTATTTGAAACTTTAGTAACAAAAGTCTTTCTGTCTTGGGGTATTTAAAAACTGACCTTTAGCCTGTTGAATCAAGTTAAATGAGGAGTGATAGCCTTAACACACTTTTTTTTTTCCTTTCAGCTAATTTATTATTAAATAGTCTATGGTGATGAGTACTTTGGAAAAATTCAGTTTAACTCCTGAGATGCCAATCTGGAAATCAGCTTTGCTTTGTCACTGCCCCATCCCCCATGTGCCTCCTCTTATTTTTGGGCTCTATAAGTTAATGAAAGACACACCAGACACATAACCCAGTATAGGCAGAAAAAGCTCCCTGAGAGCTGAAGCAACTCCCACRCAGTAAATTCACAACTTGCTGAGCACAGCTGCTGTTCTGCTGAAGGAGGGATCAGAATAGCTTCTTTTTTTTCTTTTTCCTTGTGCCTGGATAATTGTGTGAATGTGCCCCACGTGCCTGACCTCCCTCCCCCACCTTCCCAGGGCCCTCAAAAGTAACCATAATCCTTACGCCTCCTGCTTCCTCGCCAGAAAAACACATCAGCTCTTAGCYTGGAAAACATCCTGCTTTGCAGATGTGCTGTGTTCCAGGGAGGATGGCCCTCTTGGGCTCTGAGCTCCTCAGATCAGCCCTCTTGCAAATTATTAATTCTGCTTACACTGCTGCTCTGCATACGGTCAGGGCGGCCTCCTGTCTCTGCAGGAGGGCTGTGTTGCACATCGTGTATCACTGATTATGGTCTTTGGGTGTGTGTGGTGACTCTCAGGTTTAGTCTGYAGTCAACTGAAAATTCAACTTGAAAGTTTAAACTTCCTTTAGAATGTTTACATTTCAACATTTTTTTCAAAAATAATTTTTTTTGGATTTGCGGTTAACACATGCACCCCCTAGCAAGGAGTGGTTAAGCTGAGGTAGAAATGCTCATATTTTACAAGGAATAAAAGAGGATAGTGCTTATTGCTTTGTTGGAGGAGAGACAAGGGTATGCAYGCTCATGTATCATGGTTTGGAGCGGGCTGAATGGAAAAGCTGAGCCTCTGCTGTGTGTCCCAGTAATCAGTGCTGCATTTGCCTGAGAAAATGTTCAATCTCTGTAAAAAGTAACAATGTGTCTGTGACTGTAAACTGGAAAAGGCAGCACCGGGGTGTCCGGTCAGGAAATCTTCASGCACAGAGTCACTGGTGAGACTGCAGACCCAAGGAAACTGGCAGTCTGGAAACCAAGATGTAGGAATTTAGGCATGGTCAGAGGACTGAGCAGGAATATTGTCTGGTCAGCAGTCTGGCGTTGTTGCTGTCTGATGGAAGCAATGCATGCTTGATTCATGCCACTACCAGTCCTTTCTTTACTTTCCCAGATCAGAAATATCTGTGTGAGAGATTTCAGTGTGTGATTGAATCGCTCTGCTTGGACCACCCTTGGGCAGGCAGACTCCAGTCGGTCGAATCTATGTTGGTGGCAGCTCAGAGTCCCTGCCATCTGTAGGTTCAGATATACTGGAGATTAGGCCAGTTTCAAGCTGTCTCTTTTATGGCTGTACCCTTCGTCTGATCCCAAACATTAAGAGATTARGTTTCTTGAAATATCAGCAATTGTCGGCCCCCCTGGCTGGAGCAAACCACTTAGCCCACAGATGTGGGAAAGATTGAATAGGTTTTCAGCATGAAAGAAATGTTGAGTTCCCAAGATGTATAATTTATACAGAGGAATAGTTTTTCACCTGCAGAGTGTTGGTAAATGCTGTTTTTTGTACTTTGGTCAAGGGCGTGAACTGATAAGCCGGGGGAAAGAAATGAAGCGAACATAGGTGGAATGAATACAGTAAAAATAGGAATATGCATCAGAGATGGAAAGTGCTGACTACTCAGAGCTTTCCAAATGCATACTAGTTTAAAACTTTCATCTTGTTTTCTTTGGGGACTGTATTGCARGTTTTGAGCATTGTATGTTTCAAAACCGAACCTTTATTATAAGGAAAAGTTGAGTACTTACTACCTCAAGATCTTTTAAAAATCAAGAAATGGCAGGCAAAGCAGTGAGTTTTTGATTCACAGGCTGTACTTCCTGAGGAAGAATCTGAAAATAAGCAAAAATGAGGTTTTGATGCTTTTGCAATATAGAATTTTGTGAAGCTCTGGAAAAGGTGTGCAAAACATAGCACGTAAGCTTTTATTTGTTCAAAGGAGACCACGGCCCAGCTCTGCTGCTTTGTAATGGTAAACAGTGAATTTCAGCATAGGTAAACACTGCCACCATAAAGAAAAAGGCTGTGCTCTAGGTCCTGATTCTGAAACTAATTCCAGGACCTGGGTGCATGGGTCACTCCTGCAGTGCAGATCTCTGGCACAGGGCTGGGTATTCACTTGGGTTTATGCACCAAGGATCTAGACCTAGGGAGTGCTTGAATCTCCACAGCAGGGCTGTAGAGATTTTCATGGTAAATCTTAGYGTGGGTCTAACATGTATGTGACTTGTTCATTAGGAAATTGTCTGATAATTTCAGACTTGCTTTGAGTAGCTTTTATATTTTGGTTAACTCATTTCCCTGTTTAGACAATTCTTACTGAAAAATCCCTCTAACATGGCATAAAATATCTTTTTTTTTTTTTTTTTTTTTTTTGTAGTGGACACTGTTTATAAGGAGCTCTGTGTTATCTACTCTGAGTACAAGGATGCATTCTTCTGTTTGTTCATGGAATCACAGAATCACAGAATGGTTTGGGTTGGAAGGGACATGTAAAAAGATCATTGAGTCCAACTTCCCTGCCATGGGCAGCATCATCTTTCACTGGATCAGGTTACACAAAACCCTGCACAACCTGAATTTGAACAGTTTCATAGGACAAAARCTATGCACAGGGTCCTTTGCATATTCTCCACATTAAGGAAGTAATTTACTTTATYACATATAGCTGTTTTGAATTTTACTGAAATGAAGAGAATATTTACTATGTAAATGTTGGTAGAATGGACATGAACATTCTACATGTATGGCTTGTCTTATTTTTACTAGTTAACACAYGAAGGCATATTTTCCTCTTAGAAAAAAATTTTGGCCTAGTTCTACTTTTTCATATCCACAGAGGTGCAAAAAAYGGTTCTGTTGATCACTCTGTGATGAGTTAAAATTCTTGCTTATATAGCTGAGAGGAGGCTCTGACCCATAATGATCTAARAAGTATGCATTTTATTATTTTTAAAATATCTCAAACTTCCAGAAACTGCTATTTTAAATCCACTTCATTTTTTTTTAAAATCTGCAAATCCTTCCACATAATTTACTTTAAGACAGCTGTGATTGCCTTCTCCTGCTTGTAGCTGTTCCCATTTTCTTGATATGTGGACTCATTGAAGCATTTGGTATAGACATCATTGGTTTAATTCAAGGGGAGCTTGCTCACTAGTATGCCAGTGTTAACCACAGACAACRTGTAAGTACACACATACCTGTAGTATGTGATACATGCATTTAGAAGTTCATCATGAAGTTCAAACCACATCATCATGTGGTTTGGTCAACAAAGCCAAGGAGGAGAGTAAGGCTGTTTTTGCAGGAAGATCTTACCAAATGCAATTATCTAGAACTCCAGTTCCACTAACAGCTTGTAGCTGGCTGCCTGGGGAGGTAACTCAGCAGTGAAGCCAAGCAAAACAAGGGATGGACTGCAGCAGTTTTTTTGCACTTGAAATTCCTCCTGTTTAACTTGCACTAGAAGGGGTRACCTCCAGATCTTGTTGTCTGACATAGATTTTTGAAGTTAAGGAATAGCTTTTATTAAGACCCTGGCATTCAACCCATACATCAGGAGGCTGGGATTCTCTAGGGATGTTGGTACAGGGCTGTGCTGGAAGAACTGAGTTCTTGACTGGAATGCCTTTTGTGTGTTTACACAGGAGGGATGGGGACACAAGGAATCCAGCTGCAAACAAATCGGTCTTGAGAAGAAAATGTTTGTTGGAGTTGGTTTTAACATAGGTGCCATAGCAGGAGAAGTGCAGTGGCGTTTCAGCACAATGCTCTGTGCTTCTCTCCCATTTGTAGGGTTGCTCTGGGTGTGCTGTGTGGCTGCAGCCAAGGTCAGGTGGGGGTCATGGTGGGGTGTGTCTGTGTACAGACTGTCTACAGCAGTGTACAGCAGAAGCATCTGTGAGCTTTGCCATTATCACATCATGATTTGAAATTCCACCAGGCTTAAAGAAAAAGCACACACTTTCTCATGGAATTGGCTGTTCAAGTGTGTAATGGATATTTCTAGCTGCAACAGGAAAGCATATACARTAATTAAAACACAGAGCAGAAAAATTAGTCAAATTTGGCACAAATGCCTGAGAAAGTGTCTGCTTGAGCTGTAGCTATAAATGAAGCACCAGCCAAAGTTACTTTCCAAGGCTTTAATTACATCTGTTTTAATTTAGCATGTAAAATGCAGGATATTATTCTTTAATATAAATTTAATTCATGGTTAATCTGCAGATTGCAATATCCTTCTAGTAAAAATGATGTACTTGGACTGTGATAACTGAAAACTTCCCTTTCAAGATGTTTGGTTAGTCTTTCTCAGGGCCTGCTGTCCAGAACCACATGTTCTCTGTGTATGTGCATCTGCTTCTTGGGGATTGTTTAACAAAACCCCCCAATACTCTTTTGGTTTTAATGTAAGTGCATTATTATACAATAAGCTGTTCATAGTGCAGATAGGTAAATCAGACATCAAAATATAATGTCTTTTCCATGGTATTTTTTTCTGAAGTGCATTCAGTAGGCATGGAGTGTAGTACTTTTCAAACTGTTCCAGAACTTGTTGCTTATAAATGAGAAAACCTACATGCTTGGGATAATCAAAGTTTTTTCACTAATTATCCTATTCTAAATGGGAAAGGGACCTTGTGTATGTGTGTGAATAGTTAATTCGCATATTCTGTACTGTTCAATGGCTGTGGGTACTATGTGCCAGTAAAGAATGAGTTCAAAATGTTTCTGGTAAGAGAGTGCATGTTCCAGGCAAGGGAGACACTGGCAGTCCCGCAAACCTGGCTGCTCATGGAAAGGATTTTAAGCGTGCCATTAAAAAAATTAGATTTGCCATATAAATTAGTGGGTTCAAACCGTCTAAAGCCAAAGGATTTGGGAAGATTATCTGAATGAATTTCAAACACAACTGGCCATTAAATTGAATGATTTGTGAAACAAATAGTGAGTTGAGCAACAGAAACAGGAAAAAAAGTCATGTGTTGTCCTCCCTCTCAAATAGGCAGATGAAGGGCGACCGAAAACCAAACTCGCTGAGCCTCAGTTTTAGTCTACATGTAAACACATACACCATTTTTTTTATATCTAACCTATCTGACACAACTTCAGGCCACTCTCTCAGATCCTGTCACTGGTCACCATAGAGAAGAGATCAGTGTCTGCCTCTCATCTTCCCCTCATGAGAAAGACGCAGTGATCTCTCCCCTCAGTCTCCTCTCCAGGCTGAACAGACCAAATTATCTCAGACACTCCTCATATGGCTTCTTGTCAATGCCCGTCACCATCTTCACTACCCTTCRTTTGGATACTCTCTCCTAGCTTAATGTCTTTTTTTTTAATATTGTGTCACCTGAAACTGTCCCCAGCAGTCGAGGTGAGGCTGCCTCAGGTCAGAGCAGAGAGGGACAATCCCCTCCCGTGCGTGGCTGGTGATGCTGTGCCTGATGTCCCCAGGACAGGGTTGGCCCTCCTGGCTGCCAGGGCACTGCTGACTCATGTTCAACTTGCCCCCAGGGCCCTCTCCATGGCACTGCTTTCCGGCATCTCATCAGAATCCATCACTTTCATTTGCTGAACTTCACCCAGAGAGTGGCTGGGCACTGACACAGGCTCTCCAGGGAAGTGCTCACAGCACCAAGCCTGACAGAGTTCAAGGAGTGCTTGGACAATGTTCTCAGGCACACGGTGTGACTCTTGGGGTGTCCTGTGCAGAGCCAGGAGTTGGACTCGATGATCCTTGTTGGGTCCCTTCCAGCTCAGCATATTCTGTGATTCTCTACATACATAGGTAAGCGAAACATGAATTAGAAACTGCTTATATGGGTAATAGTCATGGGTCTTAAATAGTTTAGTTGTATAAATGTGGAAATTGGGCCAGAAAAGCTGGAAAGCCTTATTTTGTCAAAATTATTGCATTGATAAGTGSAGGAGACCAAAGTTCATGAAGTGTAACTTGATTTTGGGGGAGTAACATATAATATCTTTTTGTGCAATCTTACTTAAAATATTAGTTTAATTGAACAGTTCATTGAAGTTGTCACACTGAAATTGAAAACTGGCAAAAATAATAAGAACRAAATCCTCTCAAACCCAGAAACAGATGGCAGTAACAATATACAAGGTTAGSGGATGATATCATAGGCACTGCCCATCATAATTTAATATAATTTAATGTAGGGATGTAGAATGCAGATGAGTAGAGACAAACTCTGACCTCTCTTTTAATGAAGATTGTATTTTCTGCTGCACACAAGGATAATCAGCTCTTCACAAACAACTTTATCTTGCTGTGAGCAGAATCTGRAGCAATATGGTTTTAGCAGGTTATTGAGTTTTGTCAGAGGAGTGGCTGCAGGATTCAGGATCCTCTCTCTGAGGAGGGGTTGGTTCATTTTGTGTGTGGCCRTGTTAGAAGTATAACATTTTAAATGCCTTCAGCAAAACTTTTCTCAATCAGTGACATGGTTTGGGAAATCTTTATTGCAAGAACTATTTTCCACAAATAACAGGCTTGAGAAAGCAARGTTTCTCATTTAATTGCTTCATATGATTGCCATGCTAGGTGTTTAGGTATGTAAGAAAATCCCCCAGAATACCTGGAGACTTCTGAGAAAGTCCTGAGCATGTGGCAGTGCTGTCCTTTGATGCATCTTTTATCCAATGAYATACCTATTTGAGTAGGAACAAAGTGACAAGGATGAGTTTGTTTGACTTCCACCTGCTCAGGATTTTAGTAGCCATAGGGAGCATCACCATGAGAGTAGGCAATCATTGCTCTGTTGTGTCTTTAAAAACAAAATGTGGTCATGTTACCACTAGACACTGTCTTCCACAGCTGCCAGAGCTTCTTTCACTCTTGTCCTTGCAGGTAAGTGACAGCAAACTTCTCTTGTGGTTTACAGTRCAAAGAGGAGGCTCTGCTCTGCAAAACAGAGGAGATTCACTGGGCTTGCTGGTGGTTCTGTCTTTTGTTTTCTGGAGACACTTAGTCGAAATAGAGACCATTGATTGACTTTCCACAGCTTGCTTAATTGTGACACCAAGGAAACCAAGGGAATACTGGATATGTGCCAATTTTTCTGTTGCACCTTGGGAACTTTCAGTTCACTCAGATTATGGAGATTTAGAAACCTGGAAGTGTGTACTACTTGGGAAGATGCTTTTTGTTAGAGACAATGACAGTAGAAARCTAATAACTCTGTGACTGTCAAACACATCTTTGACATAAAACTTGTTCCTGGGTCTAATAGCAAAACCCACCTGCCCTTTCTTACTCTAATGCCTACATTAATAGACTGCCTCAGTGCAGCAGCCCCTGGAAACTCAAAGCCACTGTAATCTACTACAGCCTCAGGCAGGACCCTCAAAAAGGCACAGATTGGAGAAGAGAATATACCTGGACAATAATTTTAAAGGCAGATTCCTCAGAAAGCTAAAAAAAAACCCCATGCTGTATTTGAAAC